CATCAAAGTCATCATGGAGTAGTGGTAGTGCTCTCAAAAGTTGCATTTCGACGGGAAGAAAACCCGCGGCCAGAGCACTACCACTACTCTAGAAAGCCCGGAAGCTAGCCTCGCCTTGGCATGTCCATTTTTCAGGTTTTGTTTCCATATTGAATACATGAAGCTCGACATATCTGGGTCCTAATTCGAAGTTCGATGAGAAGTTGAATGCCTTCTCTAGTAAGGGGTCTGTAATGAAGGTTATTACAATGGCCCCAAAACATTGCATTATCCTCATGATAAGAGCTGTTTACATTGAATAGATTACTTTCTCATATGTATTCAATAGAAGTCACTGTGGTGTGCTTCATTTCCTACTTGCCATCTATTAACGCTGGCGGCGCTCAATGGGCAAAGGCGAACATGAGGATCATAAGAAGTTACCACATGGAAAGGTGCGTCCTCTTGTTGAATCTGTAGTGGCCATAGCTGACCAGAGAAAAGGTAGCCGATCTGCACTGATTGTTGGTGGCCTGGATTCGGCAGACCGCGTTTACGTTCAACAGCAAACGCTGCAAAATCGTCGCTAATTCCTCTGGGCTAGCAGTACTGACGTTATGCCATCACTTGAAACCTCGGCCCACTATAGGTCTGTCGGTCACTCAACCTAGCCTGCGTATTTATGGAAGCTGCAGCTTAGTTGGCAGAAGTTTGTTGGTCAACACGAAGCGCACTTGAGAAGGTCAACGGGAACAGCTCTTAGCACCCTCGTGTGTATAACTCTCCATTACGTCTCATACTTGTAATGATTCAACTCGTGCCATCATTTCAGGTGATTGCGGGGCGGTGGAAAATCCTAGAAAAGCTCGGAGAAGGCGGTATGGGAGCCGTATACAGAGTGGAAGACAAAAACCGCAAAAATTTTCAAGCCGCTCTCAAGGTTTGACTCAGTTGTTTGATCGACCATTCTACCAGTGTCTATCGGTGAAAGTGGAGGAGGATACCATCGCAAAACCATAGCTCATTTTGAAGTAGACAGTCCAGCGTGCGGTGGAGAGTGTGAAGTAGGCAGCGTACGTAGTTTGTGATCGTATGCGCATTAGGGGATCAGGCGCTGCATAGGCGTGGACTCAAAGAAAAATATACGAAATGACCAATCAGCGTTCATGTTGGCGATCGTACATGCAGGATCGTTTCTGGAGAAGTGTACTTATCTATTTGGCGAGTAGGCATAAGAAAGAGATACGCATCCCTTTCTTATGCCTACTCGCCAAATAGATAAGTACACTTCCTCTGAAACGACCTGTTGCCTCGCCCAGTGTCACTGCGCCCTCCCCTCCAGCTATCACAGCAGCACTATGTAGACTGAGGCTGAGCATGCTTGATCGGTGTTTGTATGGCCGTGTATTATCAGTATTATCAATAACATCAACATCACGGATCGTAGCCATTCGAGCTCCTTATATATGAAGGGATCGCTCGATCCCTGGTCACCCAAATAGCATGTATGATCGCGGACTATGAACCTGCCTAATGTGTTTGTTGAGGTGTACGTGTTTTAGAGGCTCTAAGAATACTTCGTTCAGGTAGAAGATGACCTCTATGAAGGCGGTGTTTTGAAATTAGAAGTGTATGTGCTTCAGCAACTACAAAAAATGAAGGACACCGTCAAGTTGTATGACTCGGGTAAACGGCAAAAATACAAGTAAGTTTCACATTGTAATTACGCAGAGACGCATCTGGGTCATCATTTGTGCATTCAACGGATGGCATGAAATGACAGATTGAATTCGAAGCGATCAAACATAGCA